TCATCCAAAAACATGACCAATGCCAGATCCATCCCACACCCAGGTCTGAATCCTGCCTGAAAAGGATCCAGATAATCTGCTTCATCCAAGGTGTTCTGAAGCTCTTGCACAACCACCTTCTCTACCACCATCCCAAAAAAGGTTAGGTTTAGGGTTAAATACTGGATGAAAACTGTCCAGTATAGTGGGGTCCAGTGATGGCTTCTTGAGGAGGGGATGAATCAATGCCTTCTTCAGCAGCAAAGGAACAACCTCCTCACTCAAAGAATTAATCACCACTAGAACTCACTCGCACAACACCTCCCAAGCTGCTTTCACAATCCAGGAGGGACATGGATCTAAAGAGCAGGCGGCTGAACTCACAGTCCTAAGGACCCTGTCCGCTTCATCAGGCCCAATAGGTTCAAACTGTTCCCAGATAACCAGGCAAGACTCTTCCCCAGACATGCAACAAGGCCAGCATTCAACTGTGAGTGAATTTGGGTGACTTTGTCTGATAGATGCTGGACAAACCCTTCCTCATGACCCTGCAAGATGGCACATGTCACCCAAAACAGGGCTGCAGGACGGCTATCCACAAACACAATAAAGGCAAAGTACTGGCATTTTGCTGCCCTTACTGCCATAAAGTAGGCCTTAATAGTGGTTCTAACCTGTGTTCCATCAAATTCATCTCCTGTAGTACACCAGCAACACTCTAGACATCTCTGCTCTCATTTCATCTCCCTTAACTCCTCTGTGAACCATGGGGAATGATGGTATCCACGAGAGAGGAGAGGTCACATATGTGTGATCCCATCCAAAGCCTCAGCCACCCTTATTCCAAGCGGTGACCAAGGCTTCAAACAGATCATGCAGCAGATCAGCAGGAACAAACCCCAACTCCCTCTGAAGCCCATCTGGCTCTACCAGTCACCAGATTAGGACCAATCTAATGGGTCTGGCCTCTCTGTAGTGGAGGTCTGCTGACTGCGTACAGGGTCTGAGACCAAGGAGTTGGAATGTGAACCGGTATAAGGCATCGGTCCCATGTTCCCCGACTCCTGCCATATCTCCCCATGGCCATCACCACCCTAATAGTTTGGCCCACCCCATCCCCCCAGAGGCAGCAACATCCTCCTATACAAACCCCCTAGTTCCCAAGGCCAGGGACCTCTCATGATTCTGAATCCCATCTATCCTAGGGAGGGGAAGCCAGGCACCCCGAGTCACTTCAGCATCATTAGCTCTCAGTGCCATCAGGTACGCCACTCCACCCACAAACACACCAACAGACATACTCCTACTCACAGGAACACCCCTCCCATGCTGCTCTCCCCAACTGAGTTAATGGTTCCCTTTCATTCACCGCAGCCCAACCAATCTCCTCCTCTGGCTTTCATCCAGAAGGGGGAATCAGTGCTCAGTAAGACACTCCCAGTCCAGAATCAAAAAAACCTAGCTGGCAGATGAAAACACGTCAAAGTGGTCAGTAATTTCTGCATCATTTTCTCCCGTCCTTCAGACAATTTACTTTACTGGGATTATTGATTACTCCCCACATATTTAGTCTGTTTTCCCTTCTATTAAAAATGCTGGTGACAAATTTTGGACTTTGGAGTCTACACTCAAAACTTTTGGGAACTATCTACAGTTTAACCCTACAGAGGGAGATGGTGATAGATGATGAGAGAGAAACAGTATTTCTGTCACTTTGGAGAAACATACTTTTGTAAAGGGTACAGCTGTTACTCTGGGAATATTCTACCACTTTTTTGGTGATGGATTAGAACTCTGAGCCATCTGAATTTTTAAATGACTATTTCTGCATTTGACCTTCTCAGTGCAAAAGGCTATCTAGAATAGTAGTTGTATGCCTTTGCTCTATATCCTTTTTTGTTTCTATATATCCTTTTTGGGTATGTATGTTGTAGAATTTAACAAGAAGCAATTTTATATAACAAATCAGGACATTATAGCTCCAATTTAATTCAGAAAATGTCCAAATATATTAATGTATTAATACACTATCATCTTAAGTGACCAAAATAGTCATAGATAACTTTGGGTTACTAATGAACAATGTCAGATTCAGGTTCTCAGCCATTTTCAAGGAAAGTAGGCTGCTATTAAGTTCCCAAGTGATTGTTGGCTTATAAAGTGTTTATTGTGATACAGTGTAGGGAACATACTAATTGGGATATATTTTCTGTGCTCAGTTTCTCTGGGGGAAAAAAAGAAAAGAAAAAATGTACTAATGAATTTATTGTTTTGTAACATATATGAAACAAGAATCCATTCCCACTGGTAGTGAAAACAATAAATTGAGAATCTCTAATTAGTAATACAGCATAGATATAAGAATGTACCTAGGTGTTGTCTAGTAGTTCTGACTTCTCCCTCTAATTTCTATACTTTACTTTCAATATGCAGAGTAGCAATTCATATACAAGGTTTGTATTCCAGCAATTTTCCTACCAGTCCGAGTAGAACTTGTCTTGTTTCATTAAAACTCAGTTGAGAGAGAGAGAGAGAGAGAGAGAGAGAGAGATGATAGATAGATAGATAGATAGATAGATAGATAGATAGATAGATAGATAGATAGATAGATAGATAGATAGATATTCTAAATGTGTTTGAAATTCTTGGTACATGAAATAATTTATCTTTCCATAATTCCTTTTATTCTTTTTAATAGTAGGGAAAAAATGTTGTTGTTTTTGTTGTTGTTGTTTCTCTCACATCAGAAACTGGGATATATCCATTGAATTGTAGAACCAAGATGAACCAAGGGAAACAGTCAGTGAGGAGACTGAAGAAATGTCCAAAGGAACCAAGGCACAATAGGAGGGATGATGATTTCCTTGAGAAAAAATAATAAGGGATCCAAAAAGCAAATAGGAGCAATATTCTTTTTAAAACTGTACTCCCAGTAGGAATGGTGAGAAATGTGTTTACTTTGAATTTTAATGTGAGCTTATGTAAGTCACTCTCCTTCAACCAAGATGTAAAAAAATATATATATATATACAATTATATAGTTCTATTTTCCAGACTTTTTCAATGCCATTTTCTGTCAAATCTGTATGTATATGTTGATGTGCCTATCTATACTTGTAGAAATAAATATATTAAGGCAGTTATGTATAAAAATGTGTATATTCTTGGAAAAAAGAAACACAAAAATGCATAGAACTGTTAGCCTCATTTTTTTTCAAAAGAAAATCAGTCTGGAAGTTGGACAGAACAAACTAGCAGAAAGTAAAATGGTCTTACTAATTCAGTTTCAGCATGTTGTTCAGAAAAAAAATTGGCTGAAATCTAGAGAGAGGGAGTATAAACAGACTTAAAGTCTGAAGAATACTTCATGAGTTTGTATATTGTATCATTGCTGAGTTTCATAACATGTGCTGCAGAAAACAAGAATTCTGAAGAACCGAATATCCATGAAATAAATTAATTGAAAGCAAGTTGTACAGATTAATGCACTGGAATATCTTTACAAGCAAGCAACCTGTTGTATGTGACACAAGTTGTATTGGTGAATGTACAGGAAGATCTTTACAAAAAGCAGCCAATTGTATGACACAAAAAGTGTACTGATCAATGTGCAGGAAGATCTCTACAAGCAAGCAACCAATTTTATGACACGGAGGTGGGTTTTGAATTCCTATTTGAACGCTGGAGAATATGGATGTGAGGGCTTCCAAGTCCAAGGTGAAAAGATAAGGGTTTGGGGCTGGGGTGGAGAGGGAGCTACCCACATAGCAAGTGTTTAAAGAATCTGCATCTTTTCCTGGATTGTATGCCTTCCTCAGCAACTGCTGTGTATTCCTAGGAAAATACTTATTTGGTTTAAACAACAGCAGACATGTGCTATGTGTATATGTCCAGTATATGATGTCCTCCAAAACACATTTTTGCTTTTCAGTCTAAGGCACTGACTGAAGAATATCCCACAGGTCTTCAATGAAGTGCTCATGTGTAGGGTTCCAGCCAAACAGCTGTACCTCTCTACATGGTATTCAATTCCTGTTTTTTTTTAATTTTTTTTTTTACTTTTATTCTTTGAAGGTCAATTAGCATTCCAAGGTTCAATCTCCTTTAGGCTATTTTCTCCTGGATACTTTGATTAAATAGTTATCATTCTCTCCCTCCAGCTGTTGACTTTTGTTATATCCATATCTATCTATCTCTATCTACAGTATATCTATATCTATATCTATATCTAATTATAACTATATCTCTATCTCTCTATATAGAGAGCTTTTATTAAAGAAACTTTTTACAATGTTAAAAGATAAACATTAAAAAATAGAAGAAAAATGAGAACGGAAGAAAAATCAAGGAAAAAGTGTTGGGAACAATAGAAAGTGAGAAAAATAGAAAAAAAGATATTTAAGGAAGGTACATCTGACTTTCTTTACAGCAGTTATAGATATACTTGATACCATTTCCCTCCTTCAAAATTATGTAACGTAATTCCCTTCTCCCCATATATAGCTCTTTTAAATCAGTAAATCCAGAAATCACCAGTTCATTTTTATCCATTTTCAGCAATAAGTCCATAAAGGGTTTCCAGTCTTTTATAAAAGTAGTAATTGTTCCTTCCCTAATCAAACAAGTCAGTTTAGCCATTTCTCCTCCAGCTGTTTACTTTTGTATGGGGAGGTGCGGGCAGGGAATGGCAGAAAAAATGTAATAAAAAATACTAGGTGTATTGCCTGCTTTCTGACTTTTACATCACAACTGGAGATTGTGGAGAACTGGAGATATTCAAATATTAAAATTAGCTAACCAAACTATTTTTTTCCAGGTTAAACCTGACCATTTTATTCCTCTTTATTGATAACAAAAGAAAATCAGGAAACAAAACTGTTTTCAAAACAACAGTAAAAAGAGACTTCCGCTTATTTTAGTTTAAGGATTGAAGAAGCAAACAGCATCACCAAAGAAGGCAAGAACTATCTAATGGAATAGATTTTGTTCTGAATGAGAATTTATAAATCTACCTCCATAAAATGAGCTGCTGCAATCAAACTATGATCAGTGAATTTGTTCTGTTAGGATTTTCCAACCTAGGGCAGCTTCAGATCATCCTCTTTATTGTGTTTCTTGTCATCTATCTGGCAAGTGTGATGGGAAACCTTCTCATCATTTTGCTAATAAGTCTGGATACTGCCTTACGCAGCCCTATGTATTTCTTTCTCCAAAACCTGTCCTTGGCTGAAGTTGGATTCATAACAACTATTGTCCCTAAGCTGCTTGTGAACCTTCTTTCAGAAAGAAAGTCCATCTCTTTGTTAGGATGCCAGGCACAGATATATTTTGTTTTCTTCTTTGGAGGCATGGAGTGCTCAGTATTGATTGTCATGGCCTATGATCGCTTTGTCGCCATATGCAACCCTCTGCGTTATGTAGTCATAATGAACAGGAAGCTCTGTTTGCTGCTGGTGATGGGCGTTTGGGCCTCAGGGTTTCCTGTTGCCACCATACAAAGTACATGGTTACTCAGTTTCCCCTTCTGTGGATCCAATGCAATTTCTCATTTCTTCTGTGACGCTCCACCAATTCTAATGCTTGCTTGTGCAGACACAAGTAGATTTGAGCAGTTTTCTATCATTGGCACATTTATCATTCTTCTTTGTCCTTTTACACTGATCTTAGTCTCCTACATCCATATCATCAGTACTATCCTAAGAATGCCTTCAATTGCGGGAAGACGAAAAGCTTTTTCCACTTGTTCTTTGCACATCATTGTTGTGACTCTCTTTTATGGGTCAGCTAGTCTGACTCACTTTCAGCCCAAAACAAGCTATACTTTTGGGAACAAACATTTCCTTTCTCTCTCCTATGTGATCTTCACTCCCATGTTAAATCCCTTTATTTACAGCCTGCGAAACAAGGAGGTGAAGGGAGCCTTTAGTAGGCTGCTCGGAAAGAAAATATGCTGATGATAATTTCAAAAAACGTCTCCAAGATTTAGAATTAAAAAAAAAAATTAGCCAGAATCATACACGGCAGAATATTGCCTATATTTTCTACAATACTGTGGAGAAAAATACTCTGGCATTTTTTCCCTACCAGTTCTTAACCCTATTTCAAGGCCCCACCCTCCAATTGTATTATATTCTTACCTGATTCTCCACCATGCTATTATTAGCACTGGGATTAAAAAAATAGGCATAATTTGTGGCCCATGCTGTTCTTAACTATTAAAATGCAGGAGACTCTGGAAACCCTTTTGAACAATCACATACTTGATGATGGCTACTCTAATGTTTATTTCTAGATAATGCCACATAAAGTAAAGGAGGATTCAGCTATAAAACATGTAGTATGTGTAAAATTATCATTATGCCTAGTGCTATGAAGTATGTCAATAGTCCAAACTTTATACAGAACTTTGGGATCAAACCTTTCCAGAATTTAAATATTTCGCATAATCTAGAGAATAAATTAGCAATTACATGATTTAAATCAGTGTTTTTTCAAACTTGGCAACTTTAAGATGTGTGGACTTCAACTCCTAGAATTGGGAATTTTGAAACTTGAAGTGCACACATCTTAAAGTTGCCAAGTTTGAAAAACACTGTTTTCAACAACTGCTGTCAAATACATGAGTAATAGCTCCATAGATATGCTAGGGAGTAGACACATTCTAGGCATACATGCATGAGACACTATAAGGATGCAAAAGAATGGGATTTGTTGTTCATGAAATCCAGCATCAAAAGAAGCAAAGTCAGATAGGAAAATAATTGCAAATGTAACAGAAGTCTACAATGTATTTATTTTTACACTAAAATCTATAATCAATCTAAACAATCCTGCTTTGCCATGAACACAGGTTGCATAAGGAACCTACTAAAATTTCTTGTTTTCCCAGAAAAGGTTCATCAAAGGAGAAGATATTAATTAATAATTAATAATATTATTAATTAATTAATTAACTTGTGGGAAAATGTACAGAATACTATGCATTGAGAAATTATGTACAAAATTATTTCATGAAATTGCACATAATAAAACATAAGGGATATTTATATTGAAATATATATTGCTTCACAAACTTCTTTTCCATTCTTTCATTGGGTTGTCCTTCTATAAAACCCAGTGGTCATTGTTTGGGAGAACTATATTCACCCTGAGTTGCATCATTTCTTAAATAGGCTTAAGTTTAAATATCTTGCTAGATTATTTTGGCTGGACTGTCCCTGCATAATACATTGTCAAGGTACAAAGTCCATCCAGAGCAACCCAGTTCAACTGGGAATTTGTCTTTGGAAATCCCAACTTTGGGATTTCCAAGCAGTTATATCCCCAAGGACCATACAAAATAATGAGATTAAACTCCTCAAAGGACTTAATGTCATAAGTAAACTATGGAAGATAAGATGCAATCTGTCCTATTTCATCTACACTTAGGACAAGTACATCATTCAATCATTCATTTCTCATTTTTTGGTTTAACTCTTCTTTAGGGCTTTTTAGTAATACCTGATAAAGGTATTGTATTGGTTTGTTTTACTTTTATATTTCCATTTTTTTATATGTGTACATATATGTACATGTATCCATATATATCCATTTTTCCAAATGGACCAGCACAGCCACTGGTATATTTGTAATTTTTAAAGACCAAAACTTGATGTACCTGTGCAGCTGACATTGCACAAGGGATCTACACCATGGCATCTGGAAGGGTTTTTACATGATTATCAGGTAAATAATGGAGGAGGAATTGACAAAATATATTCTTCTCCGTAATATATGCTAGTAAGTTCGACATAAGGGTCAGAACTCCTTTTCAGAAGTCTTTTTCTCTATGGTAACTGCAGGGAGAAGTTCGAATCTTAATATCTTAATGTCATAATTTATTAGGGATGTACTTCTGTGTTTGATTGTTTTAGATAAATACGTATTTATGTTGTATTGGTATTCAGATATTCAGTGCTTCCTTATTGGTTATATAAATGAAATACATATAGGGGTCCTAAGGTGGGAAGAATTAACTCAGGTCTATGCACTGTATGAAAAGGCATCAGTTTGGGAACAGGAAATGTTAAGAAGACTAAACAAAGGTAGCCATACACTCTCTTAGATTGTATTTACACTAAATATTCAAGATGATGAGGAGAACATGTTTATCTTCATACATACAGACACACTAACTGCATCCTATTAGTCCATCCTATTTACTTTGAAAATAATATGTTTATATATTCAAACATGTCTATATGTTTGAAAAGATCACAGAAGTCTTTGAACCTCACTCTTTGGTCTGCTACTCAAAGCAAAATCACAGCACACAGGATATTTTCTCCAACAAAGAGAATGCTTCCAAAACAATGAATAATGAGGACAATATACAAGGATACAGAAATGCATTTAATTAAACTCCCCTCCTCCTCCTCCTCCTCCTCCTCCTCCTCCTCCTCCTCCTCCCATTTTTTCAAAATTAAATATATTTACTTACTGAACCACAATAACCGTTTATGAAATGAAATGAATCAGCTTCCAGTGATGAGTCTGATATGTGTGCATATGAATCTGCAGACAACTGGGAAGAGCCTCTGAAATCACACAAGCTTTCCAAAGCACATGCCTGCACTAACATTACAATGGAAGGGATTCCAACCAAGTTAACATGCTTTGCAAAAAATTGTTTTAAGATGCTTCTATTCTTGAGCACTAGTTCAATGTCTTTCTCTGGTTGTAACCAAACGGGACAGAGAACAATCCCCCCCCCCCCAAAATTTATCTACAGGTCAGATATGGGATGCACTTGATGGAGTAGCAGGTCCAAGCAAAGCCACAGTCTTATACATGTCTACAGAACAAAGATCTTCCTTCTAATTTGGTAAGATTGTCATAAATGATGCCAATTAGGAATAGACTATTATGTGAAATTATGTCTGTGTATGATTGCAAAATACTGTGTGCACAGCATACCTGCTCATCAGATAAGTATATTCAGTAAGACTTTTCTTGATTTAGAAGTCTGTATGATCCTATTCACACATAGGAAAAGAACCAGCAAGTATGCTAAAAATCCTTCCACCACATAGAAGCAAAGATAAATAGTAATAGCAATAGTAATAGTAATAATAATAATAATAATATCATTCGAGGTCCTTGGGAAGGACTCGATAGATGGATAACAATGCCAAATCCAGCCTAAACATCTGGCTGACTAGGTGACCAACAATAATCTTGAAAAGAGTTGGAAAGCAAAATAGGCTTTAATTTATAAGCTATAGAGGACATGTCTTTAACAGCTGAGTTCTCATCAAATTTCAGCTTAAAAAAAATTGAATTTATATCAATTCAATGTCCTGATGAATTTTAACTCCTTTTATTGAACATAAACAAATTGTGGAAAAGATGTAACCTCACTGCATCAGAAAGGATGATGTTGGGCAGAACTGGAAAATAACAGCAAATTGACAAGGAACATAAAAGAACATCAAACAAATGGCTTTTTGTGTGGGAAGGTGTTGGAAGGGGGGAGAGAT